AGGCTCTTTTTGGCATTTCCGGGGCCCTTTTTGGCATTTCGAGGGCTAAATCGCCCCGAGCCCCCGTGTATTTTTTTCACTGACACACACACACACACACACACACACACACACACACACACACACACACACCGCACGCATGCCAACCTCCACGAATACCATGCATTTAGGTGCATCTCTACAGGTAAAAGCAGGCGCCAACGTACGGGTCTAGTGTTGTTCAGAGATTGATATAAAGATTATTGAGTGACACATAAGAGACACTTGTTAGCAGTCTAGTAAAATGCAGAACAACAGCTCTCGCGAATACAATTATTCACTACACCGTAAAAAAAATACCTGGCCGCACTTACTCGAGCCGATGAAATGCGAGCCCATTAAATCGACGCATAAATCACGATGTAATCCGCAAATCTGATTAAAATTGATGCCTATCTGTGTAAAGTGCGCACAATGTAGAAACATGTACGTATGTACATATCTACGCGCATAAAAACAGATTTCAATTACACATAATTTATTTATTAGCAAATTATGAGGCACTGAACGACATAACTGATGAAATCTTTCAAAGCCTCGGCTCTTCCCTAACATCCAGAGATCTCTGAATACTCTACTAATTGTTTACTGCACTGCAGAAACAAACACAACGTAAAAATGAAATCGAGGTCGCGGTGAAAATTTTTACAATTCAAGCATTTAATGGCTGCCATCCTTATTGCATCGAGTTTTTAAGCCACAGTTTATAAAGATATTGATAAGGTAACCAAACTGTGCTGTTATCTCGTATTATTAAGCCATTTTTAATGGTAAAATAGCGCTACCTTCCAAAAAATGAAAACACCTCAGCCTAAAAAACCAGGGAAAAAAATTGAATTTATTTTTCGGGGCTTACTTTTCAAGCTCGCGTGCATGAAAATAGCACTTTAAAATTTGGTTTGCCTTGAACTCTATGCAAATTTACGGGAGCTCTTTTTGGCATTTCGGGGGCTAAATCGCACCGAGCCCCCGTGTATTTTTTTCACTGCTAAAAACCATCGTAACCTGATGGGTCATAGGTGGATTCGCATGGCAGCCAGGTCAGCATTCTATTCTTTGAGATTGCGCAATGTTTCATCAGCACCCGGACAGCATTCCACTGAAGTATCGCTTATATTATATCTGGACGAAAATAACTTCTTATGTTTAAAATGTTTAGCTTTGGTCTGTAATTTTTTCTGACTTGGTTTTGTTCGATCCACTACACATTTTTATTCTTAAGGGCAGTGAAAAAAATACACGGGGGCTCGGGGCGATTTAGCCCCGGAAATGCCAAAAAGAACCCCCGTAAATTTGCATAGAGTTCAATGCAAACCAAATTTTAGAGTGCTATTTTCATGCACGCAAGCTTGAAAAGTAGCCCCCGAAAAATAAATTTAAAATTTTCCCTGCTTAAAGGTAATAATTTTCAGATTATAGCTACATTTCAAAATGTTATTTGGGACCGAAAACTAGTTAGTTGTAACAATATTGCGTCAAACTAACATTCTCGAAGCACAGAAAATTTAATGCCACTCTATGCTTGGATGATGAAATATTGTTGAACAGTGTTCACTATCTTACCTTCGTATTTTGACATTTTATACTTATATCAAGAGTTAATCACATCTTTAGCATTACACTTCCACTTTGTAACTCTACTGTGTTTTATAATAAAGAACACACGTCTGATAATAACTAACGATGAATAGAGAAGCAAGCAATTTAAAATTAACCATTGCAAAATCACGCCGTCTGTGCATGTGACATAAATTAACCTATCTAACCTCTCTTCACCTAACAGTCAACCCCCGTAATAGCTGATCAATACAAAACAGGTTATTGGACACATAAAAATCAGCTTAGGTGGACTTTTAAAAAGAATACTTTTATGAGAAAATGCATTTACCTATACAATATCCACAGGTGCATTCTGAACTGAAGGCAAACGATTACAAAAATCATTACAGAATATTCTGAATTTTCTAATATATAGTACCTTACACCGATGCCTTGCATCAGTAAAATATCGTAATTTAACCGAGAGGCAACTTGGTTTATTAATTCCAACCTGCAGATATCTAAGGTGACCGTTTTTTATGATGAAACTGCGACTACACACAGTCACGCTGCTGCATTATGAAGCAAGCGACACGCAGGGCTGTAGCCAGAGATAAATTTTGTAGGAGGCAAATGTTGTGAGTTAAATAACAAGGCGCAAAGCGAGCCAATAGGGCGTGGGGTATGGGGCCAAAAAATAATTTTTGAGAAATTTTGTAGGAGGCATTTGCCTCCTATTGCCTAATGGTAGCTACGGCCCTGGCGACAAGTAGCGAAAGAAAAATCAACACATTTTGTCCATTATGCTGCTTCAGCAACCATTCCTAACAAATATTAGCAAGTTTTATATTAATTTTATTGCGTAACATAGAATTCCGTAAATGACAAGATGAAGGATAACTCATTGAATAGTGAATAATATTGATTATAAGATCATAAGACATAAAATACTCCCTACAGGAAAGAGTTAATGCCACATGCTACTAACCAGGGTAAGCATGAGTCAACCAGCAGGTGATAAGATTGAATGCCTGTGTTTTCGGTCAACTTATATCGGTCCCATTATCGCTTCTATTCCAACATAACCGCAGATACCTCCGGTAGCTTTCTCCGTAAGCGATATATCCGACCACGCCGGTCGATTTATTGCAGCATAGAGGATTTGATTATATATGTGATATATAATTTGTTCATTAGCAGCCTCATAAACAAACAATACGGTTTAACCTGTAAACGTTTACGATCCCATAATTGAGCGATTATTCTTACTGGAGGTGTGACTGCATAAAATCAGGGTGCAGCGAGCGTCACGTTGTTCCCATTCTTTCCTCATACGTATGCTAATGCGCTGTCATCAAAATTTAAGAAATCACTCAACATAACACACAACATAACAAACGTGCATACACACACACGCACACACGCACGAGCGTGCGCGCACACGCACGCACGCACGCACACACACACACACACACACACACACGCACGCACGCACGCACACACACACACACACACACACAACATAACACACGCACACACACACACAAACGTAAAACACAACACAAAAACGTAAACGAACGTACAGCACAAACACGCACACGCACACATATACACGCATATATATATACATACAGGAATGGGTCCAAGCAGAATTCCGTATGTACTTCAAGAAGACACCGATTGCCTTCCTGTTTTAAAAGAAACGACTCCATTTTCTGGTCCGTGCCACACCGCTAAGCATACTCAGCACAACTATGCTCAGGCGCGCTGTTGCCGTTGGTCGTTTTCTCGCTCACTTCGCAACCGAAATGCACCAAATTTACGCACTACCATGCTGAAATTTTACAATAACTATGTTTTCTGTATACTTACCGAAGTGTTCCTGTCTTCTATTGTATATAACCTGCTGGTTAGAGTTGTAATTTTTATAGAAAAAATCCACATATGCACAATGTTTGCGTTTTTCTGGGGTTCGTCCTGGTCGCTTTGGCATTGGCCCAATTCTCCGGTCACGTGACAATCACTGGTGACACCTACAGTCAGGAATTGCTCTCAAAATTAATTACAGTAAATAAGGATACGTCAAACATGATAATTTATTAACATTGATCACGCGCTAAGAAAAAAACGAAGTAAATTAATTATTACATTGATGAGATAGACGAGATGGAACTACTGATTGCGTTGGAGAGCAATGTAAACTCGTGCCGTGATCGTAAGCGTAACGTGTAAGTGGTGAAACCTGCAGTAAAATCATGACTGAGCGAAACCATGAAACAAAATATATATATATGCGAGAGACGGAAAGGAAGGCATGGCGAAAAACTAGTACGCGCCATCGTATAGTAAATGTACTTCAGTGCGTGTTGCTAATAACTGCAATAAATTATTATGGCTTGACTTGAATATAAAAGTAGGTGGCTTGAGGAACATGACATGGTCCTGGCGACATGATTCATAGCATAAATTAACGGATATTTCTATAAATAGGTGCAGTTAATAATTATAAACATTTATTTCAGATATTCTATAATCTATAAAATTTCCCGAACTTGCACTGTAACTCCAGTATCACGAGGAATACCAAAAACGCAAAATATATGTAAGAAAATAAATGGTTCAATACGCTGCGTACAGAGGTCGCTGTGCACGCTTCCCTCAAGAGGCATGAGAGTTGGGTAATTGAAACTTGTAAAAATAGAAATTTAACATACTCGAATTAAAGTTAGATATTAAATGTATAGGAACTTAGTTTCGGACGTTCTCCGAACGTTTGCGTGTAGCAGTTGCACCTGTTATTTGGTAGCAATTTCATTTCATTTGAGTCAAAGACGCGGCGACCTTTTTCACTTTTCACGTACCACATTATCGCTTTTCACGGTCATTAATATTTAATACGATATCAGCGAGTCTTCTTCAACGTTAGTAGATATAAATGCGTTTTTTTAAAACTAGAATTATAATCGTTAATATCTGCCAATTGTACTTTCAGGTAAGCCAGTTAAAACGCAATTGGCAATCATGTTCAGGACTGGCTTGCTCGTGACCGGTGCCAGGTGCAAGCCCGTGTCACTATCCCTGATTTACTCCTACGCCACGTCCTCGCACAAAACCCTGCTCGCGAAACTCCGCAAGAAGACCGGCTTCCCCTTCATCAACTGCAAGAAGGCGCTCGAGAAACACGACGACTTTGACGCGGCGCTCGCGTGGCTGAAGAAGGAAGCGCAGAAGGAGGGATGGTCGAAGGCCACCAAGCTGCAGGGCCGCACGACGCGGCAGGGCCTTGTCGGCATCGTCCTCGAGAAAAACCTCGGCGTCATCGTCGAGGTGAACTGCGAGACCGACTTCGTCGCACGTAACGACAAGTTCCGCGGGCTCGTCGCGTCGGCCGCCAAGAGCGCGCTCAAGCACTGCCGCTGGACGCCCGTCAACGGCCCGCTCGTGCGCGTGGACATGGCCGCGGATGAGATCGGCGCGCTCGGCTGGTCGGAGGGCGGCAAGACACTGCGGGACGCGGTCGCGTTGCAGATCGGAGCGCTCGGTGAGAACATGAGCGTGCGGCGCGCCGTCTGCCTGCGTCCGAGCGCGGACGTGCGCCTCGCAGCGTACCTGCACCCGCCGGGCGACCGCGCGGCGAGCGGAGAGTGCGCGACGGGCAAGTTCGGCGCCGTCGTCGCGTACCGCGGCGGCGACGAAGACGACGCGGGGCGACTCGCCGAGCAACTGTGTCAGCACATCGTCGGCATGAATCCCACGTCGGTCGGCCGCGACAACGAACAAGACACGGCGGCGGCGGCTTCCCCCTCGACGAACGGCACGCAGCCGGTGAAGGTAGAGAAGGAAGTGGAAGGGAAGGTACAGGCGGAGGGAGAACCGGAGGAGGATGAGGACGGGTTCGCACGCGCGCAGCCTTTCGTGGGGGAGGATGAGGAGGAGACGCGGCTGTGGCATCAGGAATTCCTCATCGACCCCCAGCTCACCGTCGGTGAGGTCCTCGTCCAGAACAACCTCGAGATCGTCGACTTTGTGCGCTTCGAATGCGGGGAGAGCCTTGAGAAGGAAGACTGACCACGGCCGGAGGTTCGCAAGGCCCCCCCGCTCGAGCACGCGCGGCGGATGCTCCAGCGAGTGTGATCCTCCCTCTCCATCCCTCCCCCTACTCGAGCGCGTGCGGCAGATGCTGCCGGAGGTTCCAGCGAGTGTGACCCTCCCTCCACCTCCTTCCCCCCGCTCGAGCGCGTGCGGCGGATGCTGCCAGAGGTTCCAGCGTGTGTCTCTCCCTCCACCTCCCTCCCCCTGCTCGAGCGCGTGCGGCCCTCCCTCCCCCAGCTCGAGCGCGTGCAGGAGATGCAATTGGATTCGGATTCGGATTAGATTCAATCGTACGGAGTGGAAGTAGATTCTACTGGAGATTTCCCATGCTAACACCATCCTGGGAAATTTTCTGTTTCGGGTTACGAGATGATCGCACGTTTCAAAATGGTACATTTGTGTGCATTTGTTCTTTGTGGAAACGAAATGTTGGGACCAGTAGGGACCAAATACACACACTCCTCTAAGGTTTATTTATAACAATAAAAATGGAAATGCACCAAAGACAATGATCGGTATGAATACATCAGAATAGTTTCTCTTGATCTTGCTTTACATTGTCTGCAATGTGATTAGAGTTTTTCATTATAGAACTTTATGATAACAATGCATATCATGTAACAACATGATTCAATCCACGTGTGCTATACATTAGTAGTGAAGCGCATTGCACATGGCATACAGTATAAACCAAGAATGTGTCATTACACCAGTATCTGTGTAAAAACATGTACACACTCATACATTAAAACTTCTATAGTATCAGTGACACTGATTGAAAACTATAATACAAGACAAACCTCAAGTAATTGATTAGAGATCAATAATTGTTAAATACGAACAATTAAATGCGAGTGAACTTACCCGTTATATGCAAACATGTACGTAACAACATTGTCATTTCAGTTGCATGCGTAAATTTCACAACAATTCGCCACTGTTACCACAGTCACTTTCACATAGCACTAAATTCCTTCTATTATTCTGCTGGCTCAAAAGACTACAGCCGCTGCTACGGCAACAACGAACAACGAACAACGAACAACAATGCCTTGCAACGGAAATTGCGTTTGTTTTGAGTTATGATAGTTATTCGCACCTCAAATGTCTCACATGACATGAAATATACATTTCACACAATGGATCATTGAAGATACACTTGCTTTTAGTTGAATGTTTACTCGTATCCTAACTACTACGTACATCAATACTGGCAAGTAGAAGACAGAAGGCACTTCATCTCAAGATCAGCACGAACACTATATACAAGTTTAACCCAGTTGATGTTCCAAAGATCACCGATTAGCCACTCTTCTCACATCCATCGATCACTGCATGCCATTTCTAGCTTGGCACTACAACAGATTCGTTCTTGCTCAATCGATTAGTACAGACTGAGTCACTGACAAACTCAAATGATAAAAACAGACTATAAAATCAAATGGGACTGCCTCATCGGTCCCATAGTTCTTTTAATCGGGGTCAGTTCTTTTTATATACAAAAAACGTGGTGCACAATCCCTTTACTTCAAAAATTAATCTAATTCTGGTAGGAATGCATGTCCACTACGAAATAAATATATCAAAAACCGCGATTGTTCGACAAAAGGTCTGCGTGGCAAGAAGCAGTCGCGCGACCTTTTCGATTTGATGGACAACCAGCGATTGTGAACAATCGCACGAACAACGATTGTCTCGCAGCGATTAAATATTTAAACACTGGTTCCATTCACGAGGCACACTTCATAGCTGCCGTCATTACGTCACTCCGATACCCACCTAACCCCTCCCACCCCCGCACCTCTGATACTCACCTCCTACATACTCGGCTCCACTTAGGATTAGGGTTAGGGTTAGGGATATAAGCCATGTCTAGTACCGGAGGTATGACTGTGGAATCGTTCTGTGGAAGATTTGGGACTTTGAATGTTATACGTCAACGCTATCACGTGACTGTTCCCTCCACGCCCGGGGATGAGCAAACACCCCTCACCAACCCCGCCACCATCTTCCCTGGCAGTTGCTCAATTGACTCCGGCACCACCCTCTGTCGCCTTGTGAATACAACTATTCCCTTACCTTCTCCCCCTCTCTCCAACCCTCTCCTCTTCCCTCGCCTCCCCTAGTTGCACCCTCCTCTACCATCACTTCACGGATAGTGATGACAGTTCTCTATCCTCTCCTCCCCTTGTCCTCTCTCTTATCTGATCCTCTTCTTTTTGCCCCTGCCCCTTCCTATCCTCTTTCCTTTCCTCTGCTCCTCTTCCCTATCCTCTCTGCCACTTTCCTATCTTCCTTTCTCCTTCCCCTGGCACTTCCCTCCCCTCCCCGCCCTCCTCCTCTGCCCACTCATCATTTCCCCGTCATGTCTGGGTCGAGCACGCCCAGCACGCCCCCTACGAGATGCAAGCTTCCAGTAACGAGTAGCTGCACGCGATCCGCATCCCGCAGCATCCGCGGCGTCTGCGTCGTCGTCGTCGCGGCGACGGGAGGCACGTGGGCGTCGCGCTCGCCGACCACCCACCGCAGCGCGTGCGCGATGCACGGGAAGATCGCCGTGGTAACGCCGTCCTCCGACTGCTCCGGGGAGCAGGGGGCGCCGCCGTCGGCGCCGGGAGGCGGCGGGTCGGGTCGTAGCGCCGCGAGGTCGCGGCGGGCGATGAGCTTGAGGTAGACGTTCTTGTGTTCGTGGCAGCGCGACATGACAGAGTCGGCCGAAACGGTGAAGTTGCTCTGATCTGCGGCGAAGACGGCGATTGTGAAGATGAAGAAAGAAACTGAGGTAGACGTACGATATTATAGTAATATACGGTCTTATAAATCGGCAGAGACGAAGACTGAGGTAGACGTACGATATTATACAGTCTTAGTGTTAGAAATACCCTATAGTCTCTGAAAACCCAGTCAGTCTCGATTTATTTTCAAAAAAACATTTGATTTCTACTGTAATAAAATATGTAACCTATATAGTAGTCCACAAAAATCACCCAGTCCTGATTTTGTTTGAAAACTTCGATTTCTACTAACGTAACCTATGTAGTAAAATTCACAACAATTATCCGTTCCAGCAGAAAGGTCCCGAGTCACGGACTGTGGGGTGAATGGTAGCTATTTCAACACCGTGACGCACGTTACGTATTTAATGTGGTATGTAACTTCGGCAAGAAAAAGGGGCAATGGCAGTGCTAAATTGTCACGTGTAACACTGCGCAGTTAAAAGCTTCATTCCGCTCTTTCTCAGCTTACTGGCTTACACTCCAGCGTTCTGAACAGCACCGATACGTTCATCTGTCATACGTACCAGAGCTTGGATCCATCGCCAAGTTCACTCGATTTGGACAGAAGATAACACAGTCAAAGTGGCAGTGCTGAAAAACATGTGCCGTTTTGTTTCGTTCATCACCTCCAACCAAGGGCACACGGCCGTTGCGCGGTTCGTTAATTCGTTAATTCGCGTGCGACTAGCTACGGAAAACTATTGCCACTTAATGATATGTGCTAAGCCAGGCGTAAACATACGATGGGTATGAGAAGAGGTGTACGAAAACATTTTATGACACGACACTGCAATTCGACGATTTCATTAGTAAATCGTAATTTTGTGAACGATTAAATCAATCGGCAATTGCATTCGGCACTTAGCGTAGTAAAATCGCCATTGTTATTTATTCATCGCATTTTGCGAAGGTGACGCATGCCAGCAGTAGCCCTGAATTCGATGAGACGAGACGATGAGACTTACGGCTATGGGAGCTAGCAGCGAGGAAGGCAGACGGTCTCCACCAGAGTTAAACATGAGCACGTTGCAAACCGAACCCCTGCAACACACACAACATCCAACAGTAAATACAAAAAATTCCAGAATAGCGATCCGATACAATAAAATAGTATTAGTAAAAAAACACCGTTTTGCTGTAGTGCTGTTACCTTACACCTCATAGATTATATTAAAATATTATATTTAATATTATTAATAGATTATTAATAGATATAGATTAATTTAGTCCTGAGTGCTGAATTAAACTTGTAATTTAAGTTAAAAGTTACAGCAAAGGCAACCATATGCATGCCAAAAGGGAATCGAAACATGATATTTATATTATACGAATCGGAACAAAAATATTTTATGAATCGAATCGAAATATTTTCGTATCAATGACAGCCCTATAAATTTCTCTTCTATTTTAGCACAATAGCCGCTCGAATCAAACCAAAGTGGTGACATATGCAGTATGAGAGGTGCCGTACGTGTCCCTCAAGATTCATTTACAATCACTTACTTGTGACGCGACGCCTCTTCTTTAGCTGCAGCCTTGAACCATCGTGCACACGTCTGTAAGCAACACGTGTGAGATTAGTAAACGGTAAGCTCTAGCGAGATACGTTACACCGCGGGTGTGACGCGAGGACGACAGAGACGCCACTGCAACAACTCACACACGCTGCAGCGTCTCTCACGCTCCTGGCTTCAATCACGACACCCAGCCACTTGTTATCACCTGTTCATTTTCAAGGTCGCAACTAGCTTATCAGAATTAGGCAGAGTAAAGAGAATCTGTCATCCCAAAATCGTATAATCGGTCAACTAGCACGCGTGCGTACGTACGGAACGATCCGTGATGGAAAGTCACCCGAATCAATAGCCTTGTATTTGTCTCGGTTTTTTAAAGAAAAGATTTTCCTTTTTGCAACCGTTTTCATACTTTCTCAACCATTCAGATACTTATCGGTACACCTTGTGTAACACCAAGTGTATATTAGTAAGGCTAATATGTCATAGAACACTTGCACATCATTCTTTTCACCAATGTGTGCACCGATCTGCATTTCAAATTAGATTTGTTTACATATTTAAACATAGCGTGTGATTCTCAATGGCATCCACCGGGTTTTACCCTGTTATACTTGTCTACATGTCAGGATAGGTGTCAGTCTAAAGAAATTCACGTCACGTAAATACATGCACGTGTTTTGTGGCAGCGTTCCCTTATTTAATTTTCACGATTCTCAAGAATGCAGGCACAAGTTGGCTGTTCATCGACTGTTTTCTATAGCCAGTAACAGCACCAAACTCATAGTTATATTCATGTTGAAGTCATCAGTAATGTGTATGCTGACATGCAAGCCTAAATGTGTCCACATGTATAAATACAGTACACAATCTATTATCCGAAATTATAAAAAACCGAAAAGCTCTGAAAACTTCATTTTTCATGGAGGTCGTCCGCACACCAAAGGTCGTGTTTGGCGCCAAAGGTTCACTGCAGAAATATTAATGTGTTTGGCATTACTCATACATATTGTACTGTACCGGTACAGCACTTGGCTTCTTGAAAACTTGGGTTTTCGTACTGGCTAGTTACAGGATATATGGTAAGTATATCTGTACTGTACTACCATTCCGAAATCCGAAAAAATTTCAAATTCCGAAACGTGTCTGGTCCCAAGAATTTCGGATAACAGATTGTGTACTGTATCTCGATTTATTTGAGAGATGATCATTACCTCCGCCCACGGAGTTAACGAAGTAACGGAGGACGGGAGGCAATGTAATCGGTCTCGTGTGTGTGTGTGTCCAGCCCGCGCGGCGCGATCGATAGCGCGTCGAGTCAGCGAGCGGCGAGTCAGCAGCAGGCGAGTGAGTCAGCAGCAACCACCAGCGAGCGGCGAGTCAGCAGCCGCCACCAGCGAGCGGCGAGTCAGCAGCAGGCGAGTCAGTCAGCAGCAGCCAGCAGCGAGCGGCGAGCCAGCTCGCAACACATACATGTTACATGCTGGCGGAGGTATGCCCTCTCCGTGAGTGCCCTCTGTCTAGTTTTAAATAAGTTGACCGGATCGTGAGCAGACGTGTGTGAATGTTGGGTGCGTGTGTGTGCATGTCTCTTCATATCTACCTCCATGCTGCTGGCAGTGTGAGCGCCATCCAGGAAGTAGGTCACCCTGCTTCTCCTTAACGTCTGGGCACGTCCCGGCCAGAAGCAGTTCTTCAACCCTGCAGAGAGCAAGAGAGAGAGAGAGAGACGTAGCAGTCGCCACGGTAACAAGCAGGATATCCGTGATAACAGCTGCCATCCTGCTTAATGTCTACGATGTCAACTTAACACTCGATTAGACTACCAAATTCAATATCGATGTTATGAAATTAGTCATTTACGATTTCAAGCAAAGGGCATTTTCGCATTCTAGCACTATCTCGGTGATTCGTCATGTTTCTCTAATGCAGTGATGCGACCAGCCCAACGCAGTATAAACACTACTATACCAACAGACTATAAATAAAAGATGACAAAAAAAGGAGACCCATTTCAACAGGCTGACAATCCTTGTACCTTTCCAATACGTTTACAAGGCTATTTATGACTGTATCACATGATATCGAATATCTTACAATACGTTTACGAGACCATTCATGACTGTATCACATGATAACGAATATATTACAATACGATTACGAGACTGTTCTGTGACAGACAACCAGGTGCATGTTGCAAAAATCCGAGGTTTACAAACTACTAACTGCATCGCAAAAACAAATCGTTCGTTTATATTATGATCGATGTGCGACACCTTCAGAAAACTCGGTCGTGATGGGAAACGTTGGAGCTGTCTGCACCTTGTCACGTGTTCCGTTCACCTGATTCTGCCTCTGACCACCAACGCCCCGTCTATCTCCACAACCTACGATAAAGAAGAGCGCCTTGTAGCCGAATGTAGGTTGCACTATCACGCAATTACGTGGTTTTATGGCACGATATATATATACTTCGGTTGTCAAGCTATATTTAAATCACGTTATATTTACTTTGAAATGCAAATGGAAATCTACATGTGATAGTAACACTGCAGTTACGCAGTTTTTATGATGTTTTTATCATCTATCTATTTACTCTTGTTTGATATCGGTGCAAAAGCTCTTAGCTTATGTTAATAATGTTCATTATATACCGACGAAAATAAGTTTTACTTGAACTTGAACTTGGAAGATTTAACAACATTTGTGGCAGCACCGCGGATAAGATAACTTCAGGAGTGTAAAATAATTTTGTTACACATATTGTTTGCCAAATAGTATGATAGTCCATCTCCCGTCAGCGAATTCATAATCTGGGAGGGGGGGTGACGAAAACTGATACGTTCACTCTGGAAGAGTGACAGCAAACGGGTACTTTTCCATAAGAGTTTTAAACAGGGTCTCGAAACTATATATGGTTCCCTGATAAAATGATCGGTAAGCATGACAGAGTTATTTATAGTCGCCCGATCGCACTAGAGGTGCCTTGGAGAAAGATTATTTAGTTTAACACTACATGTACTGAATGATCAAAATGCTACAATGTATCGACAGCAATGTCATGTCCCAGAATAGCTCCTAGAAACGGTCTTTGCTAGGGTTAGGAACTTAGGAGTATATTGACGTTAGTCACACAGCCCCGGGCCCCCCACTCCGAGGTCGGAGGGACCGCATGCGCGTTCCCAAAATCTCCGGTAAAGGGGTATTTTTCGCGCGACAAAATCCGGCCCAAGAATTGTAAAAAAGGGGGTGTATTTGACTTTTCACCCGGAGATTTCTTTAAAAAGGGGGTGTTTTTCCTCTCTTTCTTTCATCTTGAATATCATAGAAAACTTTGTCAAAACCCGGGATCAAATTCCTGAAATTCCTGCTAGTTTTGAAAGCTTATTCAGGATTATTTCGGATTTAGGAGGGTCTCCAAGGCATGCAGGAAAACCCCGCAAAAAGCCCGCGAAAGGGGGGTTCAGAAATGTTGGCAGTCCTGAGATAGGGGGGTGCTTTCAAATGGAGGGAACGAGCATATGCGTACCCTAAATAACACTGAGTTACACAGCCTGGTCGGGTTAGTCCCAGAAGTGAAAATGTGTTAAACTTTGACCACTGCACAACACCACATGGTACATTAACCATGACACAATAACTATCATGCTTGTAAAAGGTACTGCTAAATCATTTTGCCTGGGGGGGTGGCCAAGCCACGTGCAGTGTTCTTGGCATTTAATGTGCAGTTCGCTGTTGGCCATGTAATAATATCTACATTGGTCTGGGGGGGGCATGTACAGTCCCCCACCCCGGCCCACACACCATCAGTTACACTGCTCCCTTTTGTATGGTACTACAAACCAGTGAAAAAAATACACGAGGGCTCTGGGCGATTTAGCCCCCGAAATGCCAAAAAGAGCCCCGGAAATGCCAAAAAGAGCCCCCGGAAATTTGCATAAAGTTCAATGCAAACAAAATTTTAGAGTGCTATTTTCATGCACGCGAGCTTGAAAAGTAGCCCCCGAAAAATGAATTTTTTAAATAATTTTTTCCCTGCTACAGCGTTGCCCAAATATCACTTCACATTTTCATTCTGGCAGGTTATAATCACGTGAAGTGCAGGCAATAAAAACACACAGGTAAGCAGTGCATTCGTACCACACACAGGAAACGCCGGCCGTATATATGTGTCACTACATATATATGCGAAACTTGGTAGATTGGGTCACAGCACATACAGGCCATCCTTAAAAAATTACATGTTTGCTGTCTTCCGACCGACCCACGAAAATAGCCGCGACCCAAAAGTTGTTTTTTTACATTTTGGGTTCCAATTTTTTTTTTTTTTTAATTCCTCATAGTTAAGACTGAAACACAAAGCATGTGTGGCAAACATGAGGACAGACTTAAAATAACTGTTATGCCTCACACACAAAAAAGACCTACCTACCTACCCACTAAAAAAATCATGGGTCGAAGGACAGCAAACATAGAATTTTTTAAGGATGGCCCGCGCAGCAAACATAAACATAAACAGCGAAAAAATGAATGGACACTACCACCAGTGTACCGTCAACAAACAGGCCTTCTCCTCTACCTCAGCTTAGGTCAGCTGATAGAGACACGAATAATAGAAAGCACTGGACCTGAGAGAGACAACAACTTGCTGTACAGTACATATATATGCACTAACAGATCAGCGCGATTGAAAGAGGGCGAATGCTTGCATGGCTAGCTCTAGCCATATTGTTATGTTACTATCACTCTCATCCTACACACGTCTGCACACCACGCATAAATAAACCCATGCACGCACTCACGTATGCACGCACATGCACACAACGGCACCCACACATGCAAGCATACGCAATGATACACACACACACACACATGCCTACACACGACAACACACAGATGCACATGCACACACACGCACGCACGCACGCACGCACGCACACACGCATGCACGCGCGTGCACGCAGGCACGCACGCACGCACTCACGCATGCACGCGCATGCATGCACACACACACGTACGCACACACACACGCACGCACGCACACACATCTTACCCTGATGCCTCGCCTCCAGCCAGACCTTGCACAGCTGCAGAGCGAGGGATGCGTTCCACAGCTGCATGTCGCCGGCGAGACCGAGCTGCGGTGGCGCCCTCTCCCTGTCGTACGTGTGGATGTCGGGTGCTAGCGTCAGTCTGGCTCCTAGCTCCCGCGCGCGCTCGCTCAGCACCTGCATCGGCCCCGCGGGCTGCGGCACCGTTACCGCGGCAACGTCGTCCTGCGGAGGAAGAATTGACCCGGGTTCAAAGCTCATGTACGTGTTATTACGAGTGCTGGCCACTACTGCACCGCTACTGCCACCGCTGCTGCCACCGCTACTGCCACCGCTGCTATCACCGCTACTACACCGCTACTGCCACCGCTACTACCACCGCTACTACACCGCTGCTATCACCGCTACTACACCGCTACTGCCACCGCTACTACCACCGCTACTACACCGCTGCTATCACCGCTACTGCCACCGCTACTACACCGCTACTACACCGCTACTACACCGCTACTGCCACCGCTACTGCCACCGCTACTACCACCGCTACTGCACCGCTACTGCCACCGCTACTACACCGCTACTGCCACCGCTACTGCCACCGCTACTGCCACCGCTGCTGCCACCGCTACTACCACCGCTACTACCACCGCTACTGCCACCGCTACTGCCACCGCTACTACACCGCTACTACACCGCTACTGCCACCGCTACTACACCGCTACTACACCGCTACTACCACCGCTACTACACCGCTACTGCCACCTACTGCCACCGCTACTACCACCGCTACTACACCGCTACTGCCACCTACTGCCACCGCTACTGCCACCGCTGCTATCACCAGCACAACAAGATCACCCATCTAACACATCATGACACGATATAACACCACAGACGACAGGACTCAACACGATGCACCACGCCATGACATGACATACACAACATCACACCACACGACACCACACGACACTACAGGACACACCATGCCACGACACCGCACCACGGGACAATAGATTACACGCCAACCCATGACCTGACATGAAATGACACAACATGACATGACATAAAACAACACCACATGATACAACATGACACTACACAACACACCACCCCACCCCACGCCACACCACACACTACACAACACGCCGCGCCGCACCACGCCACGCCACGATACACGCGTCTCACCTTGAAGATTCCGGCCTTGTGCCACGCGATCTTCTCCACGGTGTCACCGAGCAACGACACGTGATCGATGCCCAGCGATGACACGCCGCACACGACCGGCTTCCTGTCGACGCAAAACACACGAGCAGCGGTTAACACGTCGTCATGGCGATGCAGCTGCATTCGCTGCAGCCACGACGAATGATACACGTCTCAAAAGACATGCAAAACACACAAACGCATCATCGTCACCGCGGCTACGGCCGGGATGGTAACGTCTGTATCTTCATGAGCCAAAAATAACTTCGATGACGGGGAATTCATTTTTCACAATGGTCGGTTCCTAATGACCGCATGCAGCAATCATGAAAAAGAGGAAGTGAGCGTGCGCGGAGGATGAGGAATCGATTTTTCATTGGATTCGGCAAAGCGAAAGGGGAGGGGGCGCATGCGCGGAGGACGGCGGGTTCCTACTCGCTACACGTTCGCACCTGACAATGTTCGTGCAGTCGTACGTTCCGCCGATGCCGCATTCCAAGATGGCGACGTCCACCTTTTGTTCGACGAATACGTAGAGAGACATCAACGTCAGGAATCGGAAATAAGCGGGCATCCCAACCTCCGGATCATGCTGGTTCTGCGCGGTGGGTAATTATCTAATTAACGTGGTCCATTAACGAGCGCGGCACGCATAGCATGCTCTCGTACACTCGATCTAAAATACTCTGAAAATAATCTAAAATAATAATCTTCTAAACTAATATAAAATACTCTGAGGAGCCTAGTTAGATTTGGTGCAAGTCTACTGTGTAAACTCTACGTTGGTCTAAGTTGCCTAAACAAGCTGGAGATGTGGGAATCTCAGAATACTGTTAGAAATTAAAAACCTTTGTGTTGATCAGCCGATTATAGACCTCAAAGAAGTAACTCGCAAACAGTTTCTTCTCGATCGGCAATCCATTGATTCGGATCCTTTCTCTGGTTTCCACTAGGTGGGGCGACCTGTTTCGACATAAAGTATTTAAACGAATGTAATTGCGAATGCACGCCCAGATGGCTACGAACAATCATGAAAAAAATATGTGAACTTTTTTCACTATCGTAACTACCCAGCTGATTAGCTCTTCTTTTTAAATGTTTTTTTTTGTTGTGGAATGAGTGAGCAACGGTGTGATTGCGTGTGATTCAATGGTCATGCAGTACATGTATACTTACGTGAACAGTCCTGTTTTATAGCCATACTGTCGAAGGATGCTCTCTGTAAATGCACACGTTGATCCCTTGCCTTTCGTTCCACTCACGTGAATAACATTAAGCTTGTCTAAGGCATCCAGCTGTCAGAGAAAAAAATGAATTTAGCTTTCCATTTGGCCTCGGAATCATAATTTTCTATTAATTATATATTCAACATTGGGAACACACAATGCAAGCGCATTCTCACCCGTCTGTAGGAGTCACTGTAGATTTATTACTATAGCTTAATACAGGGTGCTACAAACGAAAATTTTGGTGGGCAAGCGGGTTTGTCGCGCCCTGCTTAATATATTCTCGACCCGTGATAAATGTTATTGCCATTCAGTGTTATAATGAATAATCATTCACATCCTGTCTGTCTGTCTGGGGTGGGGTGTAGGGAGTCAATGGCGTAGCCAGAATTTTTTAACAAGGGGGGGCCAAAAACAGTGAACTGTGCAAAATAGTGGATAACTTAATATTTTAATGCTTCCTTCGCCTCCCTCTCCACACCCTACGCTCCCCCACCTCGCAGCTCTGCAATTTTTGTTTTGGGCGCCATGCAAAAAGGCGACATATTTGTTCATTGTTCTCTGCTCCCAAGATATGCAACTGTTCAGTGGCGGATCCAGGATTCCAAGGAGGGGGGTGTAAGACAGGTGGGGGGTTTGGGGGTCCTCCTCCTGAAAACTTTGAAAATGTAGATCGCAGGAGATGGTATTTGAGGCACTTTTGAGTACATGTACAGCCTTCAAAGTTCATTCTGATTACAACAATTCTCTTTTTAGTAGAACAATTCTTATTACTTTCGGATCAACAGGGGGAAGGGGCGTGCCCCCTTTGCCCCCCCTAACTATGCCACTGTAGGGAGTACATTGATCAGTGTTATGATCAATAATCATTCAGATCCTGTCTGTAGACGGTCACAGGTACAGTCACCACTGACACGAATAGATTATACCTGTCAGAACATGAGCATGCAGCTATATACCTGGGCGACACAATATCGGGGTTCAGTGGGCGATGCAATATGGAAATTATGTATGAATAGTTTAGAAGCTCCTTTATTGGATATACATGCCACTCTTGAAGTTCATCACCACCAAAATTATATACGTGAAGTTTTAGTTTTGCTGAGACAACATGGCATAAAGGCTAACATTATTAGCAAAGTATTGGCCGATGGATCCGCTACTGTCCCGGGGCGATCAAATCTTTCTGGTTGAAGTTATATATGTCCTCTAATTATTAGGTAAATATAGAAAAAGAAAAGATCAACAATGAAATAGACACCAAAGAATTTGGATATTCATTATGATGTAGTTTCGTCAAACAAAAGCCTATGAAAGGAGCAAATTTTAATCGTCTGGAAGTCATACATTTTGGAAGAAGTACAACCAGTAAGGATATATATATGACTGATATAAATGTGTGACGAACAAACCAAACAGATCTAAATACATATGTTCAGTGGCGACACAGCCACACACCACAGCTTCCCGGTTAATTAAGAATCATTCTCCGGCGACGTAAGCATACAGTGTATGATTATCCCATTGGCTAAAATTTACTACCAACCGTGATGCCAGCTCTCTGTGCAAACGTGATCATGTCTGGAATGTTACGCTGAACGTCACGACCGCCTTCCTTGCGTATTCTAGCCAGCGTTTCGGCATTTGTCTGCAGCGAGTTTAAACAGCGTATTGCATCCTGTGAAGTAGAAAGTTACGTACATTACTTGTAATTGACAATAATTATTGCTATCATGCGGTGCACTAGCTGGATTGAAACTGAACTTGAAATATCCCCCTAAACTAGGTGACAATGTTTGATATATATGGCACTTTCCCAATGTTCCCCACCCACGCTAGTATGGCTCATAGGGGCTATGTCCCCCAGGGTACTATATTGGAGGGTACCCTGCATGGGTACGGTTCGATATATCGGAACGTACCCTGGTAACTATCTGATATGGTTAGGGTTAGGGTTAGGGTTAGGGTTAAGGTTAGGGTTAGGGTTAGGGTTAGGGAGTAGGCGTAGGCGACTCCCTAGACACGTTAGTAGGCGAGGTACGGTCCGGCAGTACCGGGGTATCCGGCAGTCCGGCAGTCCAGATAGTACCAGGGTACGTTACGATATATCAAACCGTACCCAGCTAGGGTACCTTCCGATAGTAACCTGGGGGACATAGACCCTCTCAGCGCTAGTATGCTATAAATTAATATCAAAATAATCCATAATAATTTAATATAAACAGTAATTACTGTACATGCTATATATGCGATCGTGTGAATACATGCACCTGCAATTGTAGGGTTAGGGTTAGGCACATTGGTTTTATTGGGACCCATGTTCTCTATCCTTGGGCCCTAACTTCTACTTCTAGAAGTTGAACCTCATCACCAGAAAAGGCAGAATTGCATCTGACAAATTTGAAATGGACGGCAATCAATCATAAAAAACTACCTTTATAAAAAAAACCTTGCCACTGCCACTGCCACTACCACTATGAGTATGATTATGAACTACTCACTGCGAAAAGTGACGCTGAATAAGCTTAATCTGGAAGATAACTCTTACCTCGTAACGTCCCTTAGTGTGCATTTTGCGACGATACCAGCACGCAAGGAACGGCCGCGCTATATACAACAAATTTATTTTTAACATAACAACACCCAACACGCAGCGCGCGTACATGCCCGAGTTCTAGACTGTGGCGACATCTACTAACGTTTCCTATCACCAAATAAATTCCTCTTTCAAGTGGAGACCATTCTTAATTATTATTCATGACCTGGGGTCACGCACGAAAACTAGGCTAAGCTAGGCAATTTTGTAAACAATGGCTGCGTGGTAGGCACGCACAGAGTGGGGTACACGCACGTACACGCGGGTACACGCACGTACACGCAGGTACACGGAGATACACGCACGTACACGCGGGTATACACGCACGTACACGCAGGTACACGCACGTACACGCAGATACACGCACGTACACGCGGGTACACGCACGTACACGCAGATACACGCACGTACACGCGGGTATACACGCACGCACGTGCACGCACGTGCACATGCACCCGTGCACACCCGTACACGCGGGTACACGCACGACACGCACGTACCCGAGGGTACGTGCGTGTACACGTACACGCGGGTACACGGAGATCGCGTGTACGTGCGTGTACCCGCGTGTACGTGCGTGTACCCGCGTGTACGTGCGTGTACCCGCGTGTACGTGCGTGTATCTGCGTGTACGTGCGTGTACCTGCGTGTACGTGAGTGTACCCGCGTGTACGTGCGTACACCTAGATTATTACAGCCAATGATTTTACAAATATCGACGTTAGATCAATTTAGCAACTGTTTTGCTTGAAATTATGTTGTTCAAGGCAATACACGCAAAAGATCGTAGAAACCTGCTCGTATTAGCAAAGAAGTATTCGCAAACGACCAACACATTGCTATAGACCCTTCTTAATTATTATTCATGACCTGGGGTCACGCACGAAAACGAGGCTAAGCTAGGCAATTTTGTAAACAATGGCTGCTCAGGCAGGCACGCACAGAGGGGGTACACACACGTACACGCGGGTACACGCACGTACACGCAGATACACGCACGTACACGCGGGTACACGGAGATACACGCACGTACACGCAGGTACACGCACGTACACGCATATACATAGGCCTACGGGTATATTACTGTGACTCTTTTGAATAGAATCGAATGCGCCATGCTGAGTATTATTTATTAGGCTGGATAATGCGTTAATACTATTCTCACGGCAAATGGCGTATAATCCATTCATGTTTAATATTTACCTTAGAGACTTATTCCTGTTAGCAGATATATCTGAATAAAGTTTTACTTGTGACGTATGTTGCATTCTTTTACAGCCATTTACGACTATTTACTCGTTGACTATCACACACGCTATGCATGTTCGCATCAATGCGGCAGTTAGATACAAAGCAACTTACAGCAAGTGCTGCAGAGCGACAGTTCTCACCTGACTGTCTGCGTCACTGGTTGAGAAAGAATATGGAAGTTGCAAAGTCACAGTTCAATTCGTTTAGCGCTTCTGAGATGCAATAGAAATGTGTTTTTCCGGAATTTCATGTATCAGCCAGCTATACAAGTACCGCAAAGTGATTGTTCTCATCCGAGAGAGGAAAAGGAGAGAGAACGTGGTAGAAGAGAGAGGGGGAGGCAGGTGAAGGAGAGAGAGAGAGATAGAAATGGAGACAGAGGCAGATAGACTATCAGGAGTACTCCCGTAGTAATCCTACGAACACTATATATAGGATATCCCCCAACTCCTCGGTAAATGAGCGATCGCGTAACACGTAACGTACTGTTTACTACATTGCATGGGCATTAGTAATGGCGGTCGAGGCATCACAACAAATGTAAAGTAAGGCGATGTGTATTGAACTGTATCAAAAACGTATTAAGTATACTTTGTAATTCAGCATACTTAAGTATGCTCTATATATAAGCATACTTAGGTATGCTCTATATTTAAGCATACTTAAGTATGCTCTATATTTAAGCATACTTAAGTATGGTTAATATGTAAGCATACTTAATACGCTCTTGGCTGTATATATCAACCGCCACGCAAACACAGCTGCTACGTATTAATGCAAGTGCATGTATATTATTGCGAAACAGGATACGGCGGTTGCTGTCTGCCTGTTATGTGGTGTATGAAACTGTATTACGGCATCTGAGATACGGAATGCATTTCATATTAAACCTGGTTAGACTCTAAATTAAAAACTTCTTTAACTGAGAAATTAATTTAACAATAAGATTCTATAGCTAGTCACATCAACACAGTCATATAGGCTCGACTAGAAAAGGCATTTCAGTTCTTTTTTAAGAGTAAGATCGGTATTCAGATATCCTCTTCATGGTAAAAAGGTCATCGCGATTTATCAGAGATCAATGAAAATTAAAATCAATTATCCATTCAGTAAAGTAATTAAAATATTAGGTCACCAATAAAATAAAAAAAGAATTCGACTCGGTCCGTTAGACGATGCCTTCCAAAATTTCGGAGGTCCGCCCATTACTTCACTGTCCTTTGACATGTAACTTTCAATTTTACCAGCTTAATTGCTTCTGTCGCCTTGACTCTGTATCCCGAAAATCAAAAGAATAGCTTAATCATTTCTATTTGTGCCGCAGTTCCGCGTTTCATCAGTGCCGGTTATATTCCTTTAATTAAGGGGAGGATATTCCCCTT